AAAGTTCGTGAAGGGGTGGAACCATTCAAACCTTTACCACTGTTGGAGCTTCATCCGACTTTGAAGGGGTGAATGATCTGGATCTGAAGGATCCTGCAGAGAAAGAACTAGAATGATAATTACAGGACCTATGATATGATGTGAAGGCGACCTGAGCGAGGACTTCGGGAACACGCTGATATATTTACTGACAGTTGGAGCAGTCCCGTCCTTTGGCCTGTTGGTCTGGAGCTGATGGAGTCCCAGGGTGTGATGCTCACCGACTCCAAACGCTTGCAGTTTGTTATAAAATCATAACTTATGACAGACTGTTGATATGAGCGTCAGGATAAATCCCTCGCTGTGTCTTTGACATTCGCCAGAATAAAAAGCAGCGAGGCAGCTCTTCGCCTCGGAGCAGCTCCGCGTACTGGAAACGGTTGTTTGTCAGTTGGCTCGAATCAGACTCCATGTGCACTTGATGTCCTTGGTTTTGGCTCTGGCCTGGGATCCTCGTTGCATGTCTCAGACTCAGAAATGTCAACAACTTATCTTTCAGAATGAAATGTTCCCCGCGTCCTGCATGCCACACGAGCCAGACCTGCCAAAGGAAAACCACATTTTCTCCAAACTGTGTCCCAATCTGCTGCGCTCAACGTTTTCTGAAGCGAGACCGGTGGGTCCAGAGCAGGAATCCGAGGTCCGGGGGATCTGTTTACATTTCACGCTCAAACGCACACCCACGATTCCTCCGATACAGGAAGTGCCCTCAAATATACACAGGCTATAAAAAGTGTTCACACCCCCGCGGTGTCCATCGGGATTATTTCTGTACCACATTCAATCACAGCAGAACGCCTTCCTGAAAGCGTATGTAGCACCGGAGTAAACACGGTGCAGGAATTCCTCTCAGAGAGTGAGAGAGCTGCAGACGTGCACACATACAGTCCTGGAGAAAGAAAGTACACCCCGTTCATTTCTAAGGTTTACATATCAGAAATGCAGACGCATGAGTGAGGTCCACTTTTACTGCTTCCACTGGGATTCAAGTAACAGCCAGGCGCTGCTGATCAAATGCACTTGATTAACTGAGCATCACTGAGTGTCAGCACCTCCATCAAAGCCGAGGTTTTGGCAGTTTTCTGGTCTGCAGCACGTCTCGGCCACACTGTGCAACGCTCAAAGAAACTACAAACAACCAAAAATGCTCTACAGGCCTCAGTTAGCATGTTAAACTTTTTGAGAGCACAATTAGATAAAGACTGAATAAGTGTGGCTTATTTGGAAGCCTCGTGGCCTCTTCTGTCTGTAAAGAACAAGTTTGGCTGCATCCGAACGAACCGCAAGACGTCTGGAACGATGTCTTGCGGACAGGAGAGAACAAAGTGGAGGTTTTTGCCCATCGTGGACAGCAGCACAGTTGGAGAAACCAAAACGCAGCATGTCAGCACAAATACCTCAGACCAACTGTCAGCTCAGCAGTGGAGGGCTGATGATGCGGGCTCATTTTGCAGCCGCAGGACGTGGGCAGCTTGCAGTTATCGAGTTGACCGTGAACTCCTCTGTAAACCAAAGTATTCTAGAGTCAAATGTGAAGTCGTCTGTCTGGCAGCTAAAGCTCAGACCAAACTGGGTCAACAACAGGACGATGATCCTGAGCACAGAAGCAAATCTCCAACAGAAAGGCTGAAAATTAAAAGAATTAAGCTGCTGCAACGGTCGAGTCAAAGCCCAGACCTCAACCAGACAGAAATGCTGCAAGATGTGCACAAATGAATCCACACAAACCTCAATGAACTGTGAAGAAGTGTGGGCCGAAATATTACCACAACGACATGAACGACCCATAAAGTCACACAGAAAACCATTACTGCAGCTCCTTCACACACTGTTGTAACATTCATTCAGTTCAGTTCAATTTTATTCCCTTAGCACCAAATCAGTCGCCTCGTGTGCTTCACCGTATGCCGTAAAAACACACTGGTCAGCAATTAATGACGTTCAGTTGTGATGTGTTTTTAAGGCGCTGTCACCTGGAGTCAGGTCTGAATGTGCAACAGCGCAGTTACCGGTCAGATCCAGTCGAGCCGATCCCAACATCTTTGAGTTCATGTGCGATCCTCGACAGCATCATCCGATCACTCCTGTCCATCTGTCATGGTCAATGATCAGCGCACACAGAGACTGAGGGGGGCAGAAAAGCAGCTGAGGTCAGAGAGAATAAAGAGAGGGAAAGACAAACACAGCACCAGAACCAGAACCAGCTCCAGTTACAAACCACCAGAGACCAGCTCCACTGCCGGGAGCTCCGGGTCTGAACCCTGGCTGCTAATTATTCCCTGAGCTTGGTCGAAACGAAATTTATGGCACCGAGCTGGAGCTGCTCGTGGCATCATAAATTAAACTGGCAAACAGTGTTAGAATCAGAACCGACCGCCTCGTCCCCCGAGAAGAGAAGCAGACCAAAACACTGTCAACATGGATGTGTGAAAACTCCAGGTTTTATAATCTTTTAATGTTTAATAATGTAAACAGTCAAATATGAAACTACAAGTGTGTCAACTGTAATTTAAACAGCATAATATAGTAAAATTAAATAGATGTAATACGTTAAAACTGTAATGCAGTACAGTCGTTGATGGCTGTGTAGACTACTGACAGAAATACACGGAGAAAAAATACACAAAGTGAGTTTAACGGTGTACAAGAGGCAAACAGAAAAACAGAAAAACAAATTCCCACAACACCAGTCAAGCTAAAAGCATGACAGGTACTAACTGTGGCCCAAAACGACATATTTACTAATATTCAGGCAAAGCATTTGCATCCTGCAGGTCATATAAAATCACCTGAGGCCAATTCTTAAGATTTAGGTACAGTTATAATTATGCAAAATACTTAACGTATAAGCTAAAGCACTGCACACCAGGGGACACAAAAGGCATTTGTGACATTAGCAGGGACTTCAGATACCAGTATGCTATTAATTATTCCAGGATCACACTAGTCAGTATGCCAAAATTCCCAGGATGTCCTGCAGTGACCTAAAGGCCCATTCTGGTAAACATGACAATCACAAAGCTCGGCACAGCGGAAGTGGACATAGTGCACAAAGTGGTGTCTCAGCAATGTCCTCGGCACAGGTTAATCCCCTCCACTGTCCCATCAGTGGTGGTCCACACAGCCTGGACATCTGTTATGTTGAAGGAACTCGTTTTAAATTTCTGTACTTATAATAGCTTTAAACCTTCCAAAGTCACCGTCTGCTATGAAAAGAAGGAGAATAAATAACGTTTATGTCATGTTGTGAGAAGATATCAGCTGAAGTTGAGTTAGAAGAAGTCTGAAGATATTCCAGCACGCTGTGAAAACGCTGCCTCCTGGTGGGGAAAGCTCTGATAAAACACGGAGAGGATAATGACAGTAAAACAATTACAGTCATGAAGGCTGGCTGATGACATGGTGACAAACATGTGGTCTCTTTTCTCTACCCGTAAACTCCTTCCGCTGGTTGCTGTGGTGGTGCAGGGCATGCTGGGATAGGTAACACCAACACAAGCTTTGTGATGGTTTGCTTGCTTGTATAGTCTGTATAGTCTTGTCTGTGTGGTCTATTTCCACAGTGCAGTGGGTGATGGTGGATGGAGCAGACCGTGGAGTCACCAGACTTCTGAAGCTCTTCTTCCACATGACTCCACCAGCGCACAGCCTCACTGGTGGTGGTTTTTGTTCATGTTAGTTTAAATAAATTTGATGTCATTGTTCTTCATCCCGTGTCTCACTCTTCTTTCATGTCTTCTAAACAAGTGTGAGATGCTGACAGATGACAGGTGAAAGTAGTGACTGTGGCTGCTGGAAGACAGAATAAAGGCTTTTTAAAGCAGGTTTATGAGAAGCAAGTGTTTCGTGTTTTGCATCGATACCTGAGTATGCAGTGGGACAGGATGGCAGCTCACAGTGCTGACGACTGAAAACGTGAAAGGTGGATGTACCAACAACGATGTCACAGATTTCAGTTTAGAAGGTTGGAGTTTGGATTTTTTTTACCTTTATAAAAACTGTGAAGCAAAGAATCATCCAGAGATGCTGCTGAGCGATAAAAATATCTGTTAATGAGAACAAAGAGACACAAAACAGAAAAGTGTCATAATCTGTACCGCTGAGAAACACAACACAGATCAAACCGATGAGAGGAGATTTTTATTTCTGCGCTTTCTGGCTCTTTTCAGTGATGTGAACTTTTTCATTACCCTCCTGTGTGTGTGTGTGTGTGTGTGTGTGTGTGTGTGTGTGTGTGTGTGTGTGTGTGTGTGCGCGCACGGGGGTGTGTGGGGGGGGGGGGGGGGGGGGGGGGGGGGGGGTCCTTTCCGTGTTGCAGCTTCAGTGAGTCATTGGTGGAAAAGAGGGAGGAAGATTTGAGGAGAAATATCGCTGTTAAATGAGTTTGGGCAGCATGACATCACGCGGTAATTAAACCAGTTTTCTGGAATTCCGTTTCCAATTCCTGCGCTCAGGTTCGCTGGAGGAGTTCTTCGAGCACCTGCAGGTTGGTGTGTGAGTGAAATATTTTCACTGGACGGAGTTCAAACTCTGGAGAGAGAGAGAGAGGGAGAGAGGGAGAGAGGGAGGGCTGCGGCATTACGCCATTCTTCCCTCTGAGAGAAAAAAAGGGGGATTTAAAGAAGTTTCTTACAAGACTTCCAACAGTTCCGCGGAGTGTTTATGCGCCTCTCAGCCCGGGCTTTGCGTTCTGCTGTGCCGGGTACATCTCTCCAGCACTATGCTCCTCACACATGACGCGTGGGACAATAAAGCTGTGCGGGATTTGTTTCTTCTGCTTGTAGACGTCCGTTACAGTCTCTGCTTTCACCGCCTGGCACGTGTCTCTGGCGAGTTTCAGGCGGGGGCAGCAGCTTTTGTGCATTTCTCGTGAGGATGACCCACTCGGATTTACTGCTCTTTGCCGCTTCAGCTTCCTTGTGATCTCACTGCACTTCGCTACGATGACAGCCTGGCGGGAGGCGAACGCGCTTTAGGATGAAAGCTGTGACGCGTCTGTCTCTGCTGCTCAGCTGCTGGACCCTGGTTCACCTGCATCCCGGCCCCACGGCGCGTGTCCGCGCAGGTCCGCCGGTAATCAGAGGAGAGGCGACCAGGGCGACCAGCTCAGAGCGCACGGATCCCGTGCGCTCCCGGCTCCTCGGCGGGGATGCGCACGATAAGGCGCACGCTCCCGCTGCCATTAACGCACATGCACGAGCGGGTGGAGGAGGTGGAGGTTCATCGGGGAGAAGTTTGGGAAAAGTTGCGGCCGCGGCTGCGCGCACCGCGTCCCCGCAGAGAGCCCATAGCGCGCCGGCTCCGGCATCGCAGCGGGGGGCCGCGAGCCACAAACAGCCGCTCGTGACGCCGCACGACTACATGCTCGCGCTGTACTGGTCTCTCTCCAGCGGTGACGTCAACGGCAGCGCGCTGCACGAGGCCGGCCTGGCCAACACCATCACGAGCTTCGTGGATAAAGGGCAAGGTAACCGCATCACCCACGAGCCTCTCTGCGTGCTCCCACGTCACTTTTCAGTCCCATGAAAGAAACACAGTGACACGCTGTTAGTGCAGGGATGGTGGCAGACACACACCCAGCTGAGCTGTGATGGGTGGGTGGGGGTCCACGCTGTGGGGGCAGCAGGACAGCTACTTCATGATGTGTTTGTGCCCCTGGTACTCTGGGGGATTAAAAAAGCAGCTGGAGCAGGAGGTTAGAGGAGATCTGAGGAGCCAGAGGATGAGCAGAGGGGCTGTTAGCTGCTTTTAAAGTCTCACTTTAGAATCCACAACAAGTCCAGATCTCACATCCACAATTCATTAACAATTAAAAAATGGGGAGTATAAAAAGGATGTCACTGGAACTTCAGGTGCCACAGAATGAGAGCTGCTTTAAGGGACTGGAGACCAGTGTGGGGGGCACCAGACGAGGGTGGTGCTGAGGGCACAGGCTGAGGATTGTGGCGTTAAAATCAGGAGGTCAGCAGTGAGTGGAGTATGATGAGAAGGAGCGTTCAACAAACTGGGCGTCAGATTCTGACAGCCAGTTAGCTTAGCTTAAAGAAACAGCTCCATCCAGAGCTAACAGAAGATGTGATTTAGCCGAGAAGTTCAAGTGGACGTAATTTTCTCCTTTTAGTTTTTCTCCTCTTCCAGCAGTACGCAGTAATGTGATGTTTTAAATACTGAGGTCAGTCATCCAAAAGCTAAGGCTGCTCTGAACTCTCAGTTTTAGATATTTTTTTTCTAGATTTGGATCTGTGTGATGTCAGTAAGATTAGATATCCTTATATGGTCCTCCCATCACAGAAGCCACACCCACCTGCTGTTTAATCTGTTTTTTGAGAGGCGTAGCCAATGAGAAGCACTTTTCTATTTTTCTTTCAGTCTTCCTTTATGTATGTATGTTTATGTAAAAGCTGACACTGACTCATTAAACCACCTTGTGGTGCAAACTGGTATTACAAGAAAAAGACAGCTTGGCTTGAATTTGAAGGAAGTTGATCTTTAGCAGAAACAGCGATGATGCCTTCATTTAATTTTGGAAGGTTTTAAACTGCATTTGAACACAGAAATGTGAGTGTTTGATTTTCAGTTATAAACAGAGGCCTGCAGGTGTATCACAACTACTTTCATCAAACCAGATTACAGCTTTTAATCTTTACACATACACCTTTTTAAAGAAGATCCCACTCTCTGGACTTCCAGGTTCATGGAGGGTGCTCTTCTGGGATTTTTCTGACAGAACCGGCTGAGCCAATAGATATGTTTCATTTTCAGCTGTAAAATTGCAGTGTAAAAAAACCTAAAGGACACCAGTGTAGATTTAATTTAGGCCGCATACATCATCGATGCTGGATTTGTGAAAACTAAAATAAAACTTGGGCTTTTTTTCTACAAACAGCTGGAAATAATTATTTAGCTCCTTTCACTCCTGTTTATTGAGGACTTTCTCACGGGCACCCTCCGCTGCACACTTGAATTTCAGCCAGTTTGAGATTGACAGGAAGTGGAATGGCTCTCTCAGATTGGCTTCAGTTTGGCTCGGGTCACCTCTGCAAGCGTACGGTGGGCGGGGCTTATGGGCTTTATTGTAACCAGCCAGGAGGGGGTTACAAGCTGTGATGGCAGCTATGTTTGTCTATATCTGGTACTTTGGTGGGAGAAAACCAAACAGTGGGGACCAAGGGAGTGAGTTTACATGTATGAAATTAGAAATGCATTCTAATAAGCATTTTTCTAAAGACCAATAACTAATTAGTTTCGTAACAGCAGGTAGTGTAGCAGAGGAATAATTTGTGTTTGCTGTCAAACTTTCAGCAGTTTTAACGTCTGGAACATGTCTGTGCACATGTATGCACATATTTATGCATATTTATTCCTTTGCAGTTGTGAGTCTGTGTGTGTGTGCTGCCGTGTGTTTCTAACATCTGGTCGGCTCTCAGTGATATATACGGCCTCGTGAGGGTAAATAAACAGTGCTCACAGCCCTCCGTGTCATGTTGTCTTTACGATGTAAAACAGTTTTAGAAGCGTCTTTAAATGAGCGCAGTTTCATGTTCCTGCTGCTGCTGAAGGTTTACATTTCCACCACTTAATGTACTTTTAATGTGGCCTTTATTTGTTCAGCGAGTCGCTGCTGACTTCGTCCACATGCTGAGACGAGGAACTGATCACCCCGACGCTCGTTATTTACCTTCTATCCTTTCATTCACTCTTACTCGCTTCCTTTTTTCTGCCTTTATTCCTCCGTTACTGCTGCCGCTCCTTTCTTTCTTCCTGCCACATGCAAGGCTGAACCTACCTCCTGAGGGGCCCTAGAGCAAGGCGTTGCTCTGGGGCCTCCAATGATGCTGTGTGTGAAGCACAGCAGCTAAAACCCTGATTAGTCGACTAAAAGTTCGGTAGGAACACCTGGTTTCGACTCCACCATCGGGCCTTTCTGTGTGACGTTTGCATGTTGTCACTGTGTCTCTGTGAGTTCACTCTGGCTTCCTCCCACCACCCAAAGTGTAATTAGTGGGGTTAGGTTAGTTGGTGCAAATAGTTAAATAGTCCATCTCTCTGTCTCAGCTCTGGTGACCCGCCTGGGATTAGGAGTGATTTGGTCATTTTCCCCCAGAGTGGGAAATCTTCTTCACCTGGGCCAGTATGTTAAAAAAGCTGAAGCCATGTGTGCAAGTGAGCGCCATTCTCCAGACAAAAGTAGGTTTTTTTGCAGTTATATTACTTTCATAATTTTAGGAGTGGTGATCAGCCTGAAATGTCGAGTTTTCAATTTATAGATCAGAAAACATTTGAATTTTAGAGTCTTTCTTAACTAAATATTGGTGTTTTGGAGCTTTGTTTGAGCAGGTGACCCACATACTTTAAGGCTATTGCAGTAGTGGAATCCACCCGGGTTATTTGCTGCATCTCTTCCCCTGCGCTCTGTCCCTGCGTTCCTGTCCACTCTCCACTCACCTGCTTAGATAAAGGCTAAAAGCCCTTAATAACAGCACTTAATAAAACTGTCCATTAATTTTAACTCCTGAGTAAAACTACTCCATGAACAGTAACCCATAACAACGCTGTACTTTACACGCTTTAATAAACTCATCCAGTCGGCCAACTCTGACCCTTTCCTGGACCAGTTTTGGCCCCTGGACCACGTGTTTGATGCCCTCGATATATCTGCTCATGTGACAAAAAGAAATGTAAATCTTATTTAATTTTGGTCAGTTATAATTTTACTGAGTTATAAATAAATGAGTTTGAAAAAGCTCCTTTCAGAAGCAAAGCAGAGATGTTTGGTTTCAGGAGGTTGGTTTGATCTTGTAAATTTTGGATAGTCTTGTTTTGGCACAGTAATATAAATAAGTAATAAGTAATAAGTAATAAGTAATATAATATAAATACGTTTTCACTGGATGACAAAGGGCCAAAGCCAGACATCTCACCTGAGAGCTCTGCTGCTGCTCGCTGCCCTTCTGTCAGCTATTTTAAAGCCCCGCCCCCACTGGACATCCTGAGAGCTGTTAGTAGAGGGATGAAGTCAGAGTGAAGAAGCCAAACATTTAATCTTGTGTGTTCTGCATTTACATACACAATAATCTGTTCCAAGCCGCTCCTGAAAGACTGATTTTCTGAGCGTTCTGAAGTGATAAAGACCACACCTGAGAGCTCTGCATCCCTCCAACATTATTTATCCTCGCTGATTTACAAGTGCGTGAGAGTTTGTGAAACCAAATTCCTCTCAGCTTTAATCAGACTGTCCAAAGAGGAGTGTGTGTGTGTGTGTTTGCTGTCTGTCTGCTGTGAATAGCTGCAGGTCCACAATAACAGGCCTGTTTACAGAGCGTTGCGGTCTCCCGGCCTGGTTCTAATGTACTTTTCAATGCATGATAAAGTCCTGGACAGCAGGAGGGGGTGCTGTGAGAACATGTAAGCAGTTTGTGTGCATATGCACAGCTAACTTTGCGAGGACCGGAGTGATTTCTCTGACCTTTGAAGTGAGGACATGTGTGGAACATGAGGACAGTAGTTCAGAGGTCTGTTTGAAGGTTCAGAATTCGTTTCAGGGTTCAGGGTTGATCAGGGATAAATTAGGCTCAGATCATGGGAATATATTAGCCGACCTGGGTCCTCACAGAGAATTTAAAACACATGTATCTGCTGGGTTTCATTGGATAGGGAAGTTTACAGTTTCCCTCACTGACAACAACAGAAAACCATCTACACCATTCAGTTCATGCTTTCTGATGCTGTGCACACAGCATGAGTGTGTATACTTGTTTTACATATGTTATGGGGACTTAAAGCTTTTCACTTACCCGTGAGGACATTACTTTAATTTGAGGACAATTAATATAAAGTAAACCATAAAGTGTTACTCTAAACACGAGTCTTTGGATGCTCATTCTTATTATTTATGTCGATTTCCTTCATAATGCCTGCAGTAGTTTATTGTAGATATGGCAACTGACTTCATTCACCAGTTTTTGCATCTGTGGTTTGAAGCTTCAACATTTACATTTTGGCTACCACCATGTTTTTATTGATTTATTTATTTAAAGCAACGAGTTACCATATTTGGACCAGAAGGTAGAGAGCTCAGTTGCCAGCTGTTGGTAGCCCTTTGTTAGCAAACTGCATCTATAGCACTAATTAACAGGTGTCTGTATTGCTACATTACATCCATACAGTCTGAGTAACATCATTAAATATGGAAAATTTATTGGTTAGGGTGTTTCAGAGAGCCTGTGAACAAAGATGGTGTATTTTGTAAGAAGCTACATATGCCTAGCTGTTTAGTGCTAAATGCTAATACAAACATTTTAAAACCAATCCTAAAATCTATTTGGAGCCAGATAAGGAGCACAAAATAGGGGTGATAATCTGGCAGCAGCATTTCGTATTGCAAAGAGATGCTTTGCCCAAGATAGTAAACAGGGATTAATCTAAACACGATGACACAAATGCAGGAATGTGTTTTTCCAGGTCAGCAGAGGAAACCATATGTTGCAATTTAGAAATGTGTCTGAAATGAAAGAAACAGGAATGAGAGCAAGTTGAAGCCCAGAATAAAATAAATATTACACCAAGATTTCAAACACTGGCCCGTTGAACAAAAAGAAGCAAGAGTCTGACGTGTGAGTGCGAATGGTTGTCAGTCTCTGTGTTAGCCCTGTGACAGACTGGCGACCTGTCCAGGGTGACAGCTGGGATAGGCTCCAGCGCCCCCGCGACCCTGAAAAGGATAAGTGGAAGCAAATGGAAACCAAAACCATTTGAATTGTAACAGGATATAAAAATATTTGTTGTTAAGTTGGACATTTTACCATTTGATGTTATTGATAAACCTTTGAATCAATGGATATTTGAGGAACTGTAGTTCACTTCACATTTTCGCTCTTGGCAGCCATTACGATGTTTTAGTCTGAGATGTCTTCAAAAATAAAAGAAATCCCAAAATAAAGTCAAGAATGCTGTTCTTTCCTTTTTTAAAGGGTAATAAAAATATAAACAATACTAATGTTTTTATAAAACAGATCAGTAAGATCCAGAAAAACTATTAGGTCCATTTTTACCTGGAGGGAAAATGTAAACAGTATAAAAGAATAACAGCAGAGCCAATGCAGAAGAGCACACTTATTTTCTACATTATGGTCATTCTAAGAGAAAGGATGTTTATCCAGGTTAGGCTCCAGCTCGGCTAAATACATGCCAATCACAAATCCCTGTCCAGTGAGTCTTCAGCATCACTTGGTTTCACAGTCAGACTCACAGCTCAATACCAAGATTGTGATGATAAAAAGGGTCATGAATAAAAGTCTATAGTCTGTGATGGGGAGCAGCACTGAAGGAAAGTACAGTATTTCTTTATATTTCAAAATCTGAGATCAGACAATATCTGGATTATTAAAATGGGTTCAATGAAGATTTCAAGTAGGGAGATTTAGTCAAAAAAGAAAGAAAGAGTCAGTTATGGAAGTGTATGGACCTGTCAGTGTATTTCATGACCTGACGGGTGGCCTTCAGCTGATGGCTCTCTGGGGCTCACATTACATTCATTTACTCAACGGTCCTTACTTGCTGTGTTGTGTTAGAAAAGTTTGTTACACTACTTTTCTTTTTGCCTGTCGGTGAATATTTACCTGCGCTTCCGTCTCTAATCACAGATGAACGTGGGCCCCAGCTGCGACGGCAGAGGTATCTTTTCAACATCAGCTCTCTGGAACGGGATGGGCTCCTGGGGGCCGAGCTACACATCCTGAGGAAGCGCCTGCCTGACCCTCGCAGAGTCTTGATAGGCTACAGAGGAGGAGAAGGAGGAGGAGTCCCGTCACCGCTCCTAAGGCTGCACACCTGCGCTTCAGGCAAACAAAAGGCCGTTCTTGTCCAGATGAAGGCCGTAGAGGATCTGTTCAGCAGCACATGGGAAGTGTTTGACGTTTGGAAGGTGTTCAGGGGCTTCAAAACCCAGAAAGGCCAGCATTCCCAGGAGCTGTGCTTTGAACTGGAAGCGCTGGAGCACGGAGGCGGTCGCCCCATGGACCTTCGCGCTCTGGGATTCGCTCGACACGGCAGGACCAACAAGGAAAAAGCGTTCTTCTTGGCATTTGGGAAAAGCAAGAAGCGTGACCTTTTTTACAAAGAGATCAAAGCGCGGTCCGGCCACGACAACAAAACAGTCTACGAGTACCTGTTCACCCAGCGACGGATGAGACGGGCACCTGCTGCGAGGGGAGTCAAAAAACCCGTGCAGCAGTCCCTGCCACAGTCCATATCCCAGCACCAGACAGTGAAGGCCAGGCTGCGCTGCCACCGGAGACGGCTCCACGTCAACTTCAAGGAGATGGGCTGGGACGACTGGATCATCGCGCCGCTGGAGTACGACGCCTATCACTGCGACGGCGCCTGCGATTTTCCCATCCGCTCACACCTGGAGCCGACCAACCACGCTATCATACAAACCCTGATTAACTCCATGGACCCGGAGTCAACGCCGCCCACTTGCTGCGTCCCGACACGGCTCAGCCCGATCAGCATCCTCTACATCGACTCGGCCAATAACGTCGTCTACAAGCAATACGAGGACATGGTGGTGGAGTCGTGCGGGTGCAGGTAGCAGACACAGCAAAGACTTTTCAATATTATATTCAGAGCTAAAACTGGAGTTGGGATTTCAGGCTCACTGCTATGCAACGCACATTACTCCTCACACTCAAGTGGGCTTACAAGAATGCATACCAGAGACTATTTAAGACTAAACAGATGAAGATAAACTCACGGAGGTGATGCTCTGAAACGCCCACTCACTGTGTAATGTTGATGTTGGTAGTGATGAGCAATACGCATCCAATACAATCCAAATAATGGAAACACGACCCGATGAAGAAAGACTCGTTTGGACTGTTTCGTACGGACTTTTTCCTTCTTCTTAGATTTGTATCAAGTTGCTGATTGTTGTAAAGAGTTTAAAATGCTTTGGAAAAATGAAGTGTTATACTTAAAAATGCTCTTTTCCAGCACTTATCTGATGAAGTCATTTGTATGCCTTATCCAAGACCTTTTTGTAAAGCATGTCAAGAATTTCTGATGTATAAATACGAGCCAGGGATGAAGTGCTCATCTGACCTGCTCCAAATTTGGGAAAGCTGCATAAACTTGTGTTCAATAAAAAAATGTCTAATTGACTGAGCTCCAAACTCCTATCAGTGAAAACCTCTGCCCCCCACCCCCTCGAGGATCTGCAGACTAAACTATCGGAGGAATTTGTGAGATTTACAGCTGCCAAATTTACAATTTAACCCAGGAATGACTGTTTGATGTGGAACATGAGTGTTTTACTTGGCTGGCTTGATAAACTGTTGCAAAGGTCTAGTTAAAATTACGAGGAGTTAGGTTTTTTAACTTTGTGCCTATTAAAGGGGACCTGTTCTGCTCATTTCCAGCTCCATCTCTTTATTATAGACTCTGCAAGTAGATTTGCAGGCGCTGAATTCATCATCTGGGTGACTACATATAAAAGATGGTCGAAGCCTCTGTGATGTAACCCACTGGGCTGTGGACTCCACGTTTTGAAATCTCAGTGTCAGCATTTTTCCTCTGGAGCCGGAGCTGGCTGTGAATTATCAGCTGCATTAATAAATTGTACATATATCAGTAAGTTAGCACTAAGCCCCATAAAATAAGATAAGATCAGATAAAACTGGAGCACAGACGTCTCAGACGATCTGGCTAACCACAGAGATAATTGCATCACTCCGACATGTACCTTACTCCAAAACTGACTAACAGCACAAACTGGTCCAAAGATCCAGTTCAGGGACTTCAGTTACCAAAATTATTTCTGTAGCACGCTGTAAACATCTTTGTTTCTGCTTTAAAGCAGCATCTTTTTAAACCCCAGAGGGGCTATCATAGGTGCTAACTGTCAAAACTCAGGAGACCAGTTCAAAAAAGACAGCTCTGTTTGCACAGGGTTAAGGTCAGCTGATGACCTTGGAGGGGGTTCATACTGGCGTTTGTGGGGACTGACTGGTTTTGGAGAAAGCCTCAAGAGTTTCATCGCCACTTGAGGAAGAACCAGTTTGACCAATTATTATTATGTAAGTCATAAAACAAACGAACAGCCTGAGCAGACTTACAACACAACAGTTACAAGTAACTAGATCCAGATAAGCTTAAGAAACTCTGTCAGCTCACTTGTAAATGCATCACTGCATTTATCCATCCCGGGTGCCTGCAGCTCACGAGGTAGAGAAGGTCATCTGATTGGAAGGTTGGTGAATAGATGCCTGCATGCCAAATATCCTAAACCAAGGATCCATCGGAGTGATGTGAAGCACCTAAGCATGGAAGAAACCACTTGTAAGAATGGCTGTGAATAAGGCGCGAGGTATGAAGAACCAGTCCATTTAGCATCCGTCCATCCACCCTCAGCTGCTGCTCTGAGCCTGGGCTGTGGATACTAGAGAGTTTGCAGAGATCCCCAGAGCTGCTCTGCTCCAGCATTTCCAATGGGACTCTCAGGAGTCTGTGTCTGCCCCAGGTTCTTCTTCTGGTTGTGCATGCTCAAAATATATCATACAACCATATACTGTCATATATTTATTTAATATATTTAATATTGTAGATTTTCTCATTTCCTCACAATAAACGGTAGAAAAGAAAGTATCACTCTCAGCTTCTCCTAATTGTTAAATCAGACTTTTAGAAACTATCAGTTCTTTGTTGTTCAGAGTCAGTGAGGGAGACGTGCGTTATAACGGGCCTTGAACATGTTCACGTCCTGGTCTGGTGGTTTCATAATCTCTCTCTCTGCCTCCTCCGATTACTCGAGAAAGCGCAGACTCTGAGGAAAACCTGACAATGTGTGAAGCTGTAGAGATGACTGCATCTATGGTGTTGCTGCAGAACGCACGCAACAGCAGTAACGTGTGTGCGTGTGCCTCCTACCGTCAGCAGCGAGCACACCTGTCTGCCTGCCTGCCCGTGAAGCTTGCGAGCTATTGGATAAAACCATCTGTGCTGAGCGGATGGCTTGTTTCTCTTGGAGAAGGACTGATGTAAGCATTTCCTTTAATCAAAGCTGAGGCATGCCAGTGGTATGACCCCCACCCCCATCCCCAAAATACTGAACTGAGGAGGTGGAGGCAGAGAGAGGCTCAGTGGGACTGGAACCTGAGAATATTAGGGCTGTTCAGTTTGTGTTTTAACCCCAACAGGAGCTCATTTAGTCCAGAAAGCACTTGTTCCGACGTTGCAGCAGCTGCTGAGTCTTGATAATAACCGCCTTTACATTAGGTCTGGCTTTGCGTCTGCTTCCTTATTTATAATTTTACCTGTTTGGGATATCCAAATGGACATCTTATAACTCATCTTATATATGCTATGATCCCATATTCCTGAACCTGTGCTTGTTTAGCATGTGTTGAGCTGCACGGGGAAATGAGCAACATGTCAAGAGTTAAACAGGAAGTCTGTGAGCTCCAACTCATCTAACATCAATCAAAGGAGACATTTTTAAGCAATCTTTGACCAAAACAAACAATTTTTATCTTTATGGAGCCAAATCAAGGTTTTTGGAACTCATCACGAATGTTACACAGCCTATTAAGCATAAATAAGTCTCTCATCATTCTTAACAGGTGTAAAGGAAATCTACATGTGACTCTGCGGTGCACAGGTCATCCAGCCTACCATCGTGTGAGTCATTAAGGTCTCATGGGTGTCACCTAAAACGTTCCCAGACTGTTGGAGCTGCTTACTGGGACATGGAGCGTCAGCTCTCAGGTGGGAAAACAGCCCAAGCTTTATCGCCGGGCACAGCTCGTGTTCCACAACCAGTCTCCAGTATCAGGGTGCTTTCTGGATGCCTCTGTATGAGGTGTTTTGGGCATGTCCTAGCAGCAGGAAGCTTGGGGCACACCCAGGACACTCAGTCAAAGTCTAGACTAGCTCGGGAACTCGTCAATGTTCCCACAGAAGAGATGTGGGAGGTGGCTGTGGAGAAGGAGTCTGGTGTCTGGTTAAACTGTTGTCCCCACGACCGGATAGGCTGCAGAAAATGGATGGATGTTTGGTTTGGTGTGTACACAGGATGCTTCACAGCAGGCCAAACGTACCGAGAACCTGTAATGAGAGATGGGCCTCGAGTTTGATGCACATGCCCCGAGTGGTTTTCCTTATTATGAAATGCATAATACCTCTGGTTTACTGCAGCTTTGACTTGATGAAAATTCAGTTTGTTCTTTGATTTATGGCGCGTCTGATTTGTGTGCCGGTTAACAATCAGCTCATTCTTTTCAGATGTGGGAAGGAACCCGTCCACTCAGACCTGACAGGGCTAATTTTGGCTTCGTGTAACAAATGGTGTTTGCAGATAAGAGATATTCACTGTGTTTATTTTTTCCCACCCAGAGACCCACCTAAAAAACTCCACCCAAGCAACGGCAACTTCTCTTTTAAAACAACAACTGGACTTTTGAGAGTAGATTCACAGAATACTTATACCACTCATGTTACATACATCTGTCTCAATACTGCTAATATTAATGTTTCTAAATGAAGTTTTTGTCTCTTAAACTGTTTAACTTTAAACACTGAAATTGTTGTGACAAAGACAAAATATGAAAAAGTTATTTTCAGTGAATTGTCCTGATAAACATCCTTATAAATAAGTTTTGAGGCCCTCTTTATGGGTCTTATACAGCGGCTTGCAAAAGTATTCGGCCCCCTTCAACTTTTCCACATTTTGTCACATTACAGCCACAAACATGAGTCAATTTAATTGGAATTCCAGGTGAAAGACCAACACAAAGTGGTGCACACGTGAGAAGTGGAACAAAAATCATACATGATTCCAAACGTATTTATAAGGATGTTTATCAGGACAATTCATTCTGAAAATATGGGGAAATAGGAATGACCTGAAATCATTCATTTACAGCTAACAGATGGGGATGTTTGACCTGGATGTTGGTCCGGAGTGAAGCTGGATCAGGTATGAATCAGTCCCAGTCTTTGTTTTTCGAGCTTCCACTAAAGCAGAAGCGATAACAGCAACAACAGCAGGTTGGAGGCGCTTCGTGCCTGAAACAGCTTCTGTTTTCATTTATTATTCTACTAATAAAGTCAGTGAGCGTATATTGTTGCACATAATTATGTGTTGGATTTAGGTTCCTAAAATAATTAATGCAATGTTTAAGTAAGGCCTGATGTTGTCTAACACAGCACAGCATTCCCAGTGAGGATTACGGCCTAATTGCTAATAACTCGACGTCTGCAGATAGAAGAAGCCAAGGTATCTGTATCACATCAGAACTGGAAACAGTTGGACAGGTGGATATTTTAGGAACAAGGGATAACTAAATGCCTAATTTACGTGCACCGCTGCACCCACGTAGACGGCAGCGTGCCCAGCAGTGACATCAGAGCTAAGGTAGGTTGATCTTTGGTTTGTCTTGCTCTATGATCCTGTTGACCTTTGCATCCATTTAAGAATAATAAGAACAAGAAACACGTTATTTGTCCCAAATGTGTGAAGCTTTTGTGTTCCAGCAGGCAAAACATGAAACAGAACTGAGCTCAACAAAAATGTATGAAGAGAAAGAGCACGAGCGATCGGTGCAGGAACTCAGATACTCTCAGCATACAGAGAGTGAGATGCTGCTGAAAGCTCAGCGATGTGGAGAACCTTTCTTGACACCTTTTATTCAGGAGAAGACAGCAGGTCCTGTCAGCGCCATTTTTAATTGTTAGGCAGTTAAAGGTCACCGGTGAAGTGATCTTAAACCAGGCTTTAGTCTGCTGCCACAGCAAGCTGCTAACGGATCAGCTGAGAGGTTTATCTGTGCTACTGCAGCCCTGCAAGCTCAGCTGTGAACAGCTGAAGGAGGTATCGAGCGCAGCGCTGTTCGATAGACATTGGGAAATGGTATTCCCCACAGAGAGCTCCGCCTGGCTTTAATTATCACACATTTTGTACACATTAGCCCATCTGAGATACACGCACTGGATTGTACAAACAGCTGATTTAAATCTCTGTGTATGATTTATGGAGACGGATATTTCCTATGATTTATGACGATGCAAAAGTGTGTTGGCTTGGCAGGAAATGAAGCATAATTAGGAAATTGACTTCACGGTATGTGTTTCTTCCTCCTGTGATGGAGTGGGATTGTTTAAGAGG